TATCTCAGGTACCCTCATTTAACTGATGTCCTTGTTTACATAGTCACATGGCCAGGGAGTGACAAGGCCAAAACCGGAGCTCATGGCTGCTTGGATGCAGAGCCTGTACTCTCTCTGCCATGACGCTGATCATGTTCCTAGCAGGTCAGAGGCCTAAATCTTGAGCATAAGGGTTCCCAAAAGTGAACCCTCTTACAAGGTCAGATGTCTTACAGGTCAGAGGTCTTGGCTTGCATTCTGCCACATTCCTGTGTTCTAAGAAAGAAGGCATTTAGCTTCTGAATCAGGTCTTCCCCCTCTCTTCCTCCTTCCCTCTCACAGTGCTGGGGCTATGAGTTTTCTGTTGATCACATTGACTTGGCTGACGGAAGTCCCCACATGGAGCTGCACATTTCTGGTCGTTGGTTGCCGCTAGCTGGCTGAGGAGTGGCAGGGAAGGTGTATGTCAGCTTCTGAGGATGAGGCTGTGGGTGTGGTGTGTGCCTCGCCACCCAGGATTGGGAGGGTGAAAGGGGAGGTGGGGGGTGGGGGATGTAGACTGTGGTCAGCTACCCTTCTACCTCTCTGCCAAAAACAAGCTTCTCTGGCTAGACTGGGACTCCCGGCCAATGGACAGAATTTGACCAGGATTGGCAAATTCCTATTGAGAATTTGCTGTGTACCAGGCACCAGGGTAAGCATTTCACGTGTTTAACCACATCCCGGCTTCACACGGATCCTGTGAGATGACGAATCCATTTTACTGCCTCGGTTTTACAGATGGGCAAACTGAGTTCCAGAAAGGACTGATCATTTACAGGGAGTATGTGCTGGAGTTGGCCTTGAGCCCAATTTTTCCGACTCCTGGGTCTATACTCGTAACCACAAATCACTTTACAAGTCCTACCTCCTCCCGCTGACCCATGGCCACTCTTCCTCTCTGCCCCTTGGTGTGGCCCATGCTGCCTGCTCCTGTCCTAGTTGAGGGTTTCTTTAAAGGCACTCTTCCTGCTCTAGTCCTTATGTACTCTGCCGCCACGTTCACTCTCCTAATCTCATTGCCACCCAACCATCTTTGCTCAGAAGATCCAATGCTTCCTACTGCCTAAAGACATTTAAACTCCTTTGCCTGACTTTCTTGGCCTTCAGCAATCTAGAAACAGCTTAATTCTGGACTGTTAGCACTCAAGGTATTATTCCTCAAGACGTATGAAGACTGCAGCCTCAGCTATCCATGTTCTTATAGACACCATCATACCTTGCTGGTTCTTTCTGGCTGAGTTTTCTCTCCCCAACTGTGCATACCCTAATCCCACTCATCTTGTCAGGCTTAGCTCAACTGCCCCCTCTGTCACTGGGCCTTTCTTGGCTTCTTCAGCAAGACCTAATTCTCTCTCCTTCCTGCTTGCATAGGATTTGATCTGTCTTATGCTACTTAACCATTTCCATCTTGCACATTGATTTACTAATTCGCTCAGCATTTCCTGAGCTGCTCCTGTGCGCCTTATGCTGTGCTGGATGCAGGGTGCAGAAGAGGAGTAATGTCCCTGCTGTCATGTTACGAACTGCATAGAGGCTTGGTGTCTGTATGTGTCTGACATCATGCCGATTTTCATCTGGCATGATGCCGTGGTAGGCATTCACTCAGTATACTGGTTTTGAATGAATGAAGATGCTTGGTACTCGCTAAATGGAGAGACAGCAGAAGACACTGGTAAGTTGGGTTGTGCTGCACAGGAAGTCAGAATGTTGGTCTCTTGCTACCTTATAAGTCAGAGATCACCTCTACGTAGAGAGGGGCAAATTGAAACACAGTTGCTCTTCCTTATTCTTCTGGGGACAGATTGTTTGCCCATCTGGGGAAAGCTGTCATCCAGCTGCCCAGTCTGCTCCCAGGGACTGGGTTCTTACAGACATCAGAGGTGTCTTGAGAAAAGCTCATAGGGTGATTTCCCGAGGGCTTCTATGATTGGTGATAGCCTGGCCTACCACACCAATGTGACCTAGCAAAGACTGACCATCAAGCCTTGTTCTAAATACCATGCTGGGTTTATGGAGTCAAGGAATGATTGAGCTCTGGGTGTGGAATAGTCACAGAAGCACAAAGTCTTCTAGCAACATCCTAGAGCAATAGTCCGCACACTCCAGCCCATGGGCAGATCTTGTTTGCCACTTGTTTTTATAGCTCACAAGTAAAGAATGACTTTTATGTTTTGAAATGGAAAAAAATCAAAAGAAGAACAATATATCATGGCATGTGAAAATAATAGGAAGTTCAAGTTCCAGTGTCTGCAAATACCATTTTCCTGGAACGCAGCCATGCTTACCTGTTTATATACTGTCTGTGCCTACTTTCATGCTGTGACGGCAAAGTTGAGTTGCTGCAACGGGGACTGCATGGCCCACTACACTTAAACTATTTCTTTGACCATCTCTTTAACCTTCCCAACAACCCCCTGAGGTGGGGAGATGGTCGCTCCCATTTGCCTTTTGCAAAAACATTATCTGACCATTCTTATGCTAGAGGATGAAGTTCTTCCTATACTCATCCATTTTGGTCAAGAAGGTAGAATTTCCCAGTGGTCCAGTGGGTGAAGCCAGTTGTGATCTTGAGACCAGAGCAGAAGTTAAGGAGCCTGCACGTGGACACTGTGCTGGCCGAGGGTGTGGAGTCCTAAGTTCTGTTGGTTTGGGGCAAGACCTTTTCTCTCTTGGTCTTTCTCATCTTGACCACGAGAAGTTTGGGCTGCATGATCTTGAAGGCGGACATGGTTCTCTGGTGTATATGGCTATTCCACAGAGGGGTCTGCATTGCATGAGGACTTCTGAGCCATCCTCGGAGGCCTTGAGCTGGAGGCAGTGATGCCCCCAGCTGACCAGGAGACAGGCATAGGAGAGCCTTTGCCCTCCCCACTCTCCCTCAGGGTCTCAGCCCTTGCACCACGAAAGCTTTCCAGAAGCAGCATCTTTTCCTTACATTGGTCCCTGTTTGGACTCCGTTCAGCCTTTTTTTTTTTTTTCCCCCAAGTGCCTGAGATCTAGGAGGACTGTAATTATGTAATTCTTCCTCGTTATCTTTTCTAATTGTTCTCAGAGCTGTTTCCTAAACTGATTGGAAACAATTGCAGACAGGGAAAGGAGTGGGAGGTAGGTGAGGACCTGGCGTCTGGCTAGAGCCCAGCCGTCTGATGGAGGCAGCCTCTTGGCAGTGGGTACAAGGGTGGGGATGGAGGGGACTGTCAGAGACCAGGCTACCCCACACGGTTCCTGTGTCTGAGCAACAGGGGCAGCAAGAAGGAAATACTCACTGAGGTGTGGGAAGCTTCGCTTTAGTCACCCCAAAATGATAAATCTCCCTCCTGCTCTTGGGTCCTAGAGAGCCAGTTGTTTTCCCTTTCTCTGCTGACGTTAATAAAGCTCCCTGGGGATTGTGCCAGGGACCAACAGGGAGCAAGGCCCTGTCCTCCTGGCATCCAATTGTTTGTGCTTTCTTAACAGAACAAAATTGGGAACTCTTGAGCCATCCATCACCCCCAGAAAGCCAGGGAGAGCCAGAGCGGGGAGAGGGTGGGGACTGCCTGCTGATTTGAGCCTAACTGGGTGGAATGGGGTCTCTGCTGTGAGATTCTTGGAAGAGCATCAAAGGTGCTGCCTCTTTGGGCCAGAGCCCCAGGAAAGGGGACCCTCCTGGGTTGTCCTTGCTGTTAGGAACTTGTCCCCTCGCCGTACAGTTCTCTGGTGGGGGCAGGCAGAGGACAGCTCATGCAGGACACTTGGGGTACATGGGGTCCTCCCATGTCACTCGGAGGCTTTCCCGCAGTGTCCCTTGGATTCCCTGTCTGTGTCGATGTCCTGCCCTCTCCCATGACTCTTGTTACCTACTTTGCAGAAACATACGGGTTTCCTAGCAAGAGGAGAGGAAAGGGGATGGGGAGGGGACACCCACCTTGCCTGTCATGCACGGGTTCTTCCTGCATGTCCACATCATCTCTTTAACATTCCCATCAACCCCCTGAGGCAGGGAGATGGTCACTCCCATTTGCCTTTTGCAAAAACATTTGCAAAGGAAGGATCGCACGAGATTCCGCAAGCAGGTATGAAGCATGTAGTGCCTGATGGGATCTAGAGAAGGCACTGGGGAGGAGAGTGGAGGAAGACAGAGCCCCTTCCCAAGGGCCGTGACTCTCCGACATCACAGGGATGGTCAGACCATGAAAAGCTGGTGTGCAAAGCCCAGCGTGTCTGACCCCAAAGCGCTTTCCACCAGCCCCTCAAGCTGCCAGATAAGATGGAGACTTGTTAAGGCTGGAAGCCGCACCACTTGCTTGGAGGAGTTAGCCCGGGTTCAATTCTGTCAGGGGTGGAGGCGAGAGCCCCAAATTGTCACCCATGAGTTTATGACTGGGTGGGGCCTGTCCATTCTGCTGTGCAGCGATTTCTCTTTCCTGTTTCCCAGCCTCTGAAACCAGAGAGGTGAGACAAGAGGAAGCATGTGAGGGGTGCCAGTGGGGTGCTGCGGACCCTCCGGTTATTCCACCTTGGTCTTCTCCCTGGAGCACTCCAGCTCCCTTGCTGTTTTGAAGACTGTGAATCCTTCCAGCCCCACACTCCCATCCTGCCCTCAGTCAGCTTCCTAGAACATGGATGTCTGGTGCGCCATTTCTCTGAAGGCTTTAAGGTCTGCGGTGAGGAGCGGGAAGAGACCCTGAGGTCTTTTGTGTCCTGGAAGCTCTTCCCTCTGCCCTGGCGGAAGAGACGGCACTGCAGTGTCTCTCACCAGTTGCCTTGTTAGGTTGCTCACGTCTCCCACCACTTTTAAAGCTTGTGAATGCTTTCGGTAGGCGTCACCGACTAGTTTTAGGGAAGCGTCCCCTCCTATGCCCGGTTTCTTGTTTCGTATGCTGAGCTTGGTCCCAATGGGGTGCAGGTGAGTGGATCCAGTCCTGGCCTGTGGGACCCGAGGGGGCTACTGCCCTAGGTCAGCATTTCTCAGCTTTTTAAAGATCACTTTTTCAGGCCAGGCACGGTGGCTCACACCTGTAATCCCAGCACTTTGGGAGACCAAGGCAGGCGGGTCACCAGGTCAAGAGATTGAGACCATCCTGGCCAATGTGGTGAAACCCTGTCTCTACTAAAAATACAAAGATGAGCTGGGAGTGGTGGCACATACCTGCAGTCCCAGCTACTCGGGAGGCTGAGGCAGGAGAATCGCTTGAACCCAGGAGGCGGAGGTTGCAGTGAGCCGAGACTGCACCACTGCACTCCAGCCTGGGTGACAGAGTGAGACTCCATCTCAAAAAAAAAAAAAAAAATCACATTTTCCCCCTTGGAGAAAAGTTAAATTTAATTTAAATTATCTTTAATGAGATGACATGCGAATTTGTTTTAGTCATGCTGACCTTTGGAGGGCCACAAATCATTGTATCTAAGCTTTTTTTTCCCCCTCTAATTTTCACCCTCTGGGGAGCACTCTTGCCCCCATTGAGAATTCATGCCCTGGGCTTTCCAGAAGACTGTGTTGTTTGAAACTGTCTGTCATTTCTCCAGAATCTCACTTAAACAATAGAAAGGAGGGTCTCAGGCCTGGGCCGGTGCTTCACGCCTGTAATCCCAGCACTTTGGGAGGCTGAGGTAGGTGGATTACCTGAGGTCAGGAGTTCAAGACGAGCCTGGCCAACAGGGTGAAACCCCGTCTCTACTAAAAATATAAAAATTAGCCAGGCATGTGGCATGATCCTGTAATCTCAGCTACCCGGAAGGCTGAACCTGGGAGTTGGAGGCTGCAGTGAGCCAAGATTGCACCACTGCACTCCAGCCTGGGCAACAGAGTAAGACTCAGTCTCAAAAAAAAAAAAAAAAAAAAAAAAAAAAAAAAAGGGTCTCAATGGATGAAGAATGTGGCTCATCTCCTAGGACTTTAGATGTACAGTGCTTGGTACTAAATCTTCTCCTGGAGCACATTTGCCTTGGTGTTTCTGGGCCTCTGCATTTCCATGTATAAAATGCAAACACCTGCTGCTACCCCTTCAACCAATAGGGAGGACACACCCACTATTAGGCGGGCGTGACACTGAGCTAGGGCTGGGCAGGCCTGACATCGCTGGTCACACTGTGTGCCTCACACAGGGTAGAGATAGAGATGAGACATTTATACTGTCTGGTTCCCACCCTAGCTTCTTCCTGGCAGACCAGCCAGTGGAGGGGTGTCTCTGTGGGAGAGGACCCCCATCCCATCACCTTAGCTGCTCTGCTGGGTCCTCGCTGGAGGCCACCGAAGGGCTGATGAGCCATGGCAGTGGGCTCTGGGGGATGACAGAAGCCCTGAGCAGTGGCTCTGGACATCTCTTGCTTGGCCATTCTTCTTAACGTTCCCCAAGTTGTACACTGAGCTCCCCCTCCCCCCAGGGGAGGCCCTCTTGCCCCTTTTCCGAGGCAGGAATGAATCCACAGCAGTGGCAGAGGCTGGGAGGAACCAGAAACTGCCCTGTGCCGCCTTCCTCCTAAATGTGGCACCCCAGAGTCCTGTGCCTGTACTTTATGAAGAGTTTTCTCAGTTTCAGGACCAGGGAGTTGTGGCCACTGAGCAGGGTCAGGGAGCCTGGGCAGGAGGCCTGAGGGCTGCAGGAGCCCCTGCCTGCCTCCACTGGAACTGTCTGAGGGAGGCACCATGTTCAAGAGCAGGCCAGAGCCCCCCACTCCCGCCCCCACCTCAGTGGAGGGTTTAATAGGAAGCACAAATGAAAAACAGCCTTCTAGAATTTGGCTTCGGTTCCTTTCTGTCAGTTTCCTCAAACGTTTCTTTCTTCTCTGTTTTCTCTCCTTCTCCTCGGTCTTTGTCCTCTGCCCTTTTCTTCCTCCTCCTGTGATTTTCTGGCTGTGTGTGTGGCCCTGTCTGCCTGCCTGTCTGCCCCTTCTAAGGCAGGTACTCCTGACCCGGGCAGGGCAGGGCGGGGCTCAAGGTAGAGAAAGGTGGCATCAGGGTGGGCGAGGAAGGGGAGGAGGAGCCAGGAGGGGCCTGGGGTTCTGGGACACAGACATTAACTCTTCCTTGGCCTAAGGAGGTCAGTAGTCTTTCCCTCCTCTTTCCCACCAAGGTCATAAAATCTGTTTCTTACTTTCACCAATTCCCCTGTCAGTGCCAGAAGCACACAATTAGCTTTAAAAGTGTCTCCAAGCTGTGGCCAGTTACAAAGTTATGACTTTTTTTTTTTTTTTAAAGCTTTCCTTTAAAGTGGCTAATTAGGTGTATTTCTCCAATGGTAATTTTAAAAATGCTAATTGGTCTGCACTCTGGAAGGAGGAGAAAAAAACTTTCCCCCTTATTATCTTGGCACTAGGGAGACATAGAAGAGATTGACATGGCCCGAGCCTCCGAGGAGAGAGGTCAGGCGCCTGCTCTTTTACAGACTTGGCAGTGAGGAGGGAGTAGGAATGGTTTTCTGTGTTCCAGACAGTGGCCTTGCCAAGGGGCTGTGGCACAGCGGGGTTGGAGAGGGCAGCTGGACTGGGGTGGGGGATGCAGCGAGAGGCTCACCCACCAGGGTGCCATGGTGTGGACACCCAGCAGAGGGGTGGCCTTCCTGGGAGGATGGGTGAGCCAGAGGATGTGTGGAGGCCACATTCTGGTCAGAACTCGGCTCTAGGACAAGATTTCATGGCTGCCAAATCACATACTAGCAGAACCTGCCTTTTTTTTTCTTCTTTATATACAAACTTTTTATTGATATATAATGTGATGTTTTGGTACATGGATGTAACGTGTAACCATCCGATCAGGGTGATTGGGATATGGATCACCCCAAACATTTATGTGAGAATTTGCCGTTTGGGGGAGGCTGCTTCTGCCAGGGACAATTACTAATGGAACCGAAAGGGGCCAGCCTCCAGGGCTTATCCTGTCCTCACATGAGGGAGGGGAAGGTTACAGGGATCCCTGGGCAGGAATGAGGCTGGGAAAGGTGTGCTAACCTGGGGCGTTCCACTGACCTCCTGACTTGCCAGGCAGGGTGTGGGTTCCACCAGGATTTTGGTCCCCATAGAAGGGTGGAGATGACCTCAGCCTGGCTGGATGTCTACGAGGAGTGGTGCCCCCTCCCCTCACTTGTGGGCCTGGGCCAGGGCTCTCCAGCTGAGCTTCCTCATCAGCCCCCTCAGCCACAGTGTATCTTGGGACTTGGCATGGGTTTCTTGGATCTGCCTCTTTTCCAAAAGTTGCTCAAAGATGGAGCAAAACCCAGGCGAGGGACCTAGGGCAGCCCAGCAGCACCAGCATGTGAATCCACAGCCCTGCTTTTCCAAGGCGTGGGCCTGATGCTGGGTGAGGGGCTCCCTGCTCTTCCTCTTGGGTCGGGGGAGTCACTGAGACCCTGGTAAGGAGGCATAGGCTCGTTCCTTTCAATGTCTCAGCCTTCTGTGTGGGAAAGCTAAAGTGGGGTGAGAATCAAGAGCCTCAGGTGACCTCTGCTCCTGGTTAGAGGCAAAGGGCATGTTCTGGGAGCTGGTCCAGAGGGGAGGGCAGTCCTGGGGGCATTGCCCTCCGTGCAGCCCTGCCTGGTGCAAGGGGGCCTGGTGGGGAGTGGTGCATTCTCCTAGAACACTGTTGCTTTCTGCTTGTGGCCCCGATGCTGGTGGCTGTAGTATGGCCATCCCCATGCGTTGCTATGTGAGTAACGCAATTACGAAGACACAAAGCAGGGATGAAGAAAAACATTCTGCAGGAGAGAGAAGGGGAGGGAGGACCAGCCACAATCAGCTCCGTTGTTATCGGATCATTTCAGGGACGAATTCCAGACAGGGAGCCCAGTTCTGTTGAAAACCCTCTGCTGTTGTGGAAGGGAGGAGTGATGAACAATTAATCAGATTCCTCAGCTTGTTTGTCAAAATAAGCTTTTATTAAGGATGTCCCTCCCTCTCTTTGGCTTCGTGACTGTCTCCAGAAAAGCTGGATGAATGTGTGACTGGCATTCTGGCCCCCAACTCTCTGCAGCTCTCTGCAGCTTCCCTACATTGCTCGCAGACTCAGTCCTATCGATCAGCAAAATGGTAAGAGGGAAACCCTTTCATTCTCTTTGCCGCAGTGTGACAAATTCTTCGGAGCCCTAAGGGAGGACAGAACAGGGTCTAGATCCTGGCTTTTCACTTCCTAGCTGAGTGAACTTGAGAGAGTCCCTTCACTGTGTAAGCTTTGGCAGGTTGGGAAAAGTTAAATGAAATAATACATGAATTGTGCACAATAGAAGTATGAACTCAATCTGACTGATGTAAAAATGAAAGATGAGCAATGCAAAGGACCCAGCATAGTGCTGGGACTGCAGAGCCTCCTCAGGGCAGATCTGATCTCTTTGCTACCCCTTCTTGGATAATTCTACAGTGTTTGCACAGGTGGAGGCTGGAGAGGATGAACACAGCTCAGGAGTCTTGTAATGAATTCTGTGCCACCCCAAGGGGCTGGTGGGGCAGGGATGATGAATGTTCTTAATCAAAACCTGCCACACCATCCATTCTGCTCTCCCTTGCCTCTCTGCCTCTGATGAGGTGGAGAATCCCGGCTCCCTCAGCTGTGGGAGGCTTTGCTTGGCAGATCTCGCCTTCAGAGGTTTCCCAAGATGCTAGGCCAGCTCGTTTGTCCATCTTCTGGGGTTGTCCAGAGTTACTTAATCTTTACGATCCTCTGCCCAATGGGGTAATCATAACCCCTTTATAGGGTTATTATGAGGATTAAGAGAGATTATGTATGGCCAGGAGCTCCTGGAACAGGGCCTGGGCCTTGGAAAGTGCTCGTTGAATGTTACTTCCCTTCCCTCTGTGAACCTAATAGCCAATAAAATGGCAACTGGATGTCTGACTAAGCACATCGTGAATTAGCTTGAGTCATAAAGGAGACAGAAGGGGAACAAGAGCCAGGCCATTAGATATGGCCGACATGAGTCTGTCTCTGGATGAATTACTACTAGACAATTAGGATGGCTACTGTTAGAATGGCTACTTGGAAGAGTGGCAAGTTCATGGATTTTGGGGGCTGGCAGCCATACTTTTGATCTCAGATTTAATGATGCACCAGCTGTGTGACTGCGGGTAAGTTGCATATCCTCTGTGCTTCTCTGTGTGTGCACATACATGGGAAGAATTAAATGCCATTGTGGCTGTAGAAAATCTGGAAAGACACAGTGGATCCCCAGTAGATGCTCATCTACTCCCATCTTGCTCTCTGAGGTGGGAGGTCAGTTTGGTTTGCATAAGGCATCCGCTATTCTGCAGGAAGTCAGATCCTTTGCATCCCATCTATGCAGAGCCAT